ATCAGTTATCAGGGTAATTTTAAAGCTTTTTCTCTCAGCAGATAATAGTATGGAGCCACACAAATGATTCTCTATTTGTTACAGTATAATTTAGATGGTGATCTGATACATGTAAAGCAGCATGAAGAAGCAAGCCGTTGTGCCTACTCTCCTTACTGCTTAGCTCAGCTGGGCTGTTACTGTGGGGAAAGTATTTTCAAGGCAGGGGTATTGTCATTATAAAAGGGATACCCGGGGATAGGTGTGCTTCCTAAGTAGGAGCTGACTTCTGGGACATGGAAAAAAGCTGAAAACTAGAGAGTATTTTATTTTGTATTTGCATTTGGTTGTGAAATTGAGTAATAATGAATTTCAGTCACCAGCTCATTGCAATTAACACAACGTAGTTTACATTGGAATCTGTATGCTTTTTGCTCTTTCATGTTTCCTTTAATGTGTATAGTGCTGTGCAGTCACAAATCCATGGGGAAGGAGTATTTAGGGCTGGTTTTTAACCTTGCTATGTGCACTCTTTGTTAGTAGGTATTAATGTTACTGTTTTCTTGAGAACATTGAAATACAATGCTAGACAAGTTCCTCAAGGTGTTCTTTTATTTAAATGTTCATCTTTTTATATAAAAAAAAATCACCCTGATTCACCTTCCTGTTGGTGCTGTACTGAAGAAAGGATTCCCTGTTGGGACAGTTGCCATCTCTTTATTCTGTTGCGTTATATTTTGAGCCTGAAGCTACCTAGTAAATCATGGGAGACTGCTGCGGGAAAGACTCCTGTTTTAACAAATAATTCTGGCTGTTGCTTTTTTATAAGAATTGCTCCTACTATAATTGAACTTTTAAGGGCTTTTGGTGGTTTATTCGTCTTGTGGTTTAATTTACACATAAACCTTTATGCTGTGTTTAAGCTACCATACATTATTTCCATGGTGCTTCTGCAGTGAAGAAATACTTGTGGTTGTACTAATCTAAAGTTTCTAAGAACATACTCAAATGAGGATTTGCTAATTTTCCTAGCAGCTGTCAGCTTGGGTATCGTTCTATATATTTCTGTATCTAGAGATGTGGATGTATAAGCTTGTGTGCACATATCATATGCTATCAGCTTTCATTATGTTGTAACTGAAGTATATACACAGCAGAGAGGAGCAAAGAGTGGAAGGGTTTTGGACAAAAGGGTTAATACCATTCCTTAATGCGCGTGGATGATGCCATGTGGTGGTATCATTTGTGAGCTCTGAGGTGGCTGACCATTCCCATTTTGGTGTAAATCCCTTGAGAGGGACGGCATTTCAGAGCGGGGTGTGATCTGTTCTCCTGGTAAGAGTGATTGACAAGGAATGAATAAATAGTTAAAAGAACTGAATAAATACCACCCTCCTGTTTAAGTCCAGGCACACCCCGGCTGGCACATATATATTCTAATGTGACACTTTAGCCAGATGCTTCAGCTGGTTGGTAACAAAAAACATTCTCAAAAAGCCAAATCGTAGTTTAATCGCAACTGATTCTTTCTTTTATGGTGACATTCTAGCGGCGATTTGAATAAATGCAAGGAATTACAGTATTTTGCAAATGAGATGTATTGATAAATATATATGCAAAAGGTGGCGGAGGCCCCTTGAGTGGAAGCAGGGGCCCTGACAGCAGGTTCTTGGTCAATTGGGGAGGTGAAATGGTTCACTGAATTGGATAACACAGTGCATACCATAGTGACTGATTAAATTGATTTGTCCGTGGCTACCGCCTACCCTGCTACTGAGGCCCTTTAACCTATTTTCAAACTTTAAAAAAGAAAAAACACAACTTTCTAATTATATGTGATAGTAAGGGAAAGAAGCAAGTGCAAATGCATGCACAGCTATAGAATTCTGTATTCTGAATTAAGATAAAATGCATGATTCCCAGAATGTCTGTGCACTCCCATGTTATACTCTATTATACCTAGCCCAGGAACAAGTACACTGCTAGAAGCCAGTGAAGAAGATGATGATAAGCATGATTCTTTAATATAACTAAATTATGATTAACACCACATTTGTGCATTCTCAGATGTTTTTGTTGAGGGGGGAGAGAGTAAACCACTTAAGGTATTAGTTCTTGCTGTTCTTTTGTTTCTCTGATTGCAAGTTTTACTTCCTTATTATTTTATCCAGAAGGTGTTCAGAAAGCTTGTTGGGGAAACAGCTGAATGCCAGTTAAGAAGATTCAATATTGCTGCTAAGTGGGGGTCACCAATTTGAAAATATCTGCAAGGATTAAGGGAAAAGTAGTCAGATGGATATTTTTTAATAACTTACAGGTTTGGGTTTTTTTTAATTATGGGGGAGAAGCATGATGTTTTTCTCTTAGATTAGGATGTTTGTATTTTACATGTTTAATATTTACTTTTTCTTCCTGTGCTAGGGAAATCAACATTAAATGACAATGGGGCTCATAAATGGTTTTTTCTTCTTGCTTCAAGGGAAGCTTTATATTCTGTGTCTCTTCATGGGTTATTCTATAGTATATGCAGGCAGACTAGTGCAAGCATAGTCTTCAAATTCCACTGAAAAATCACATAAAACTTCAGTGAAGTGGTGGCATAAAAATAGAACCAGTTCACATACAATATGTTACTGCAGTTGTCATAGAAGTGCAGAGTTCAGTATAATGGGTTTGGTTTCTTGATTCTTATTAATTTTTAGGGTAGATATGACAATTTAATTACAGTGTTTTCTGAAAGGATAATGAAGTTTCTGTTCATCATTTAACTTCTCTAAATTATAGGTCAATTTTGTAGGACATGACAGCATGCCATGGGCAACAGACTGTTTTTTCATTTGTCTGTTAAAATAAAGATGGTTAGTATCTTGCTAATAGTGAAAAAGAGATATGAAGAGCAAGATGCTATGGGATTATTTCTTAGTTTTGCAAATGTTAATAGCTGTTTTGCAATCTTTAAAAAAAAATTATCTGGGTTTTATCAATAGCATTTCTTTGGAAGGTAAAGTAAATTTCGTAGGTGAGTGTACATATGGCTTTGCATGGACTAAACTCCTTGGTTTTGTACAGACTAGTAGCAATCACTAGTTGAAACAGTACCGTTACTTTCCAGGAATCTGAAAATTTAAAATACTTCTACATGGCTTCAAGCCAGACCATGCTACACTATTTTGTACATATAGTTAGTTATAGCTAAATTCTTTTTTTAATCCTTCTGTTGACTCCACCAGGTCTAAGTGTTTGTGCAATTGTTTTTAAATTAGTTGACAGTTATGGGAAAGCAAAAAAAAAAAAATATTGCTTTAGTTCTTTCCAATAGCATGTTAGACTGTAATAAATGAAATCTGTGCATTGCATGCAAGTTTTATAAAATAAAGAAACAGAAACCATAGAAAAATAGCCAAAATAGAAAGCTCTGTAGTAAAGAGGCTTTGGAAGTGACGCATTGAAACAGGCTGCCCAGGGAGGTGGTGGAGTCGCCATCCCTGGAGGTTTTCAAAAAACGTATAAACATGGCACTTCAGGACCTGGTTTAGTGGTCATTGTGGTGTTGGGTGATGGTTGGACTTGATGACCTTAAAAGTCTTTTCCAGCCTTAATAGTTCTATGATTCTATCAAACATGACCAGCATAGAGTCACCATGCCAAAGGTGTATAATTATTTTTTTATATCCTGTGTTAGAATAATGTAA